CCACTGAGAGCTAACAGGAAGTACGAGATGAAACAAGATGGCTGCCTCCTGCAGCTGCACATCAAGGATCTCAAACCTGAAGACAGTGGCAGCTATTCATGTCAAACAGGAAGTGCAGAGACCTCTGCTACTGTGACAGTGACAGGTTTGTACAATTGGCAATAAGACATTTTGTATCATGCATGCATTCAATAAAATACTAAACTAAAAGTACTTTTTAAGCATCGAGACTTTCTGGTGAGCTGCTTGTGTTACAGTCGCATCCATCCATTGTACAGTATGTACAAAGAAAACTTGGTCCCCTTTCCTTTGAGCAGTTTCCAATTATACTAAAGTGTTTCCAATCCTTACCTATTCTTCCAGAGCTTCCACCATTCTTCCAAGAAGAATTGCAAAGCACAGAGGTTGAGGAGGAAGGTACAGCTATACTCTGTTGTGAGCTGTCCAAACCTGGAGTGTCAGTGCAATGGAAGAAGAACAGGCTNTTTCATTTTCCCATTACACTAACGTTTTTTCCAATCCTTACCTGTTTTTCCAGAGCTACCACCATTTTTCCAAGAAGAATTGCAAAGCACAGAGGCTGAGGAGGAAGGTACAGCTATACTCTGTTGTGAGCTGTCTAAACCTGGAGTGTCAGTGCAATGGAAGAAGAACAGGCTGCCACTGAGAGCTAACAGGAAGTACGAGATGAAACAAGATGGCTGCCTCCTGCAGCTGCACATCAAGGATCTCAAACCTGAAGACAGTGGTAGCTACTCATGTCAAGCTGGAAGTGCAGAAACCTCTGCGACTGTGACAGTGAAAGGTGAGTGCGTCTTAATACCTAATTAGTAAGAGTGTATCTGCAAACAAAAATGAATGGTTCTGTGTTTATGTACCTCAGTTTTGGGGGTTACGGTTATTTCTTAAGTTAAGGCATTCACATACTGGCATATTGTCTATAAGAAAAAAAGATAGGGTTGGGGTTGTCTTATAAATGTTGTGAACAATGTTATGAACAATGTCTGTATTCAGTTTTACAAAGAGAGCCTTTAGCGCTTCAGTCCATACCGTATGAATACATGTACCTACAACCTTTATTTCTCTCTCAAACCACCGCCACACACCAACAAGTTGCCAACCAATTATGTTTTGCAATGTCTTGTCTAGCTCTAGAACCTACTCCACCAAAAGTAGAGCCTCCCACTGTCCTTCCCCGGGCTAAGGGCACTGTTTCCAAACCAGCTTCTGCTCCAGACAACCAGAAGCCTGGACTCCCAGAAGCCAAACCTGTTCCTCCAGAGCCCAAAAAGAGAGCTGCTAGGAAAGCATCTATCACAAGTTTAGACAAAGATGTGGAGCCAATGTTTGACATTAAACAGGGCGTCCAACCTGCGAGACTGGTGGAAAAAGTTGTTGGTGTAACACAGAATTTAACACGACTTGAGAAAGACAATGAAGTGTACAAGAAGGTCGACGAGGCAATGAGACAACTGGAGAAGGATGATGGGGTTGACCGGGAGGTNGTGTGCCTTGGCAGTCTCAGAAAGCATCTATCACAAGTTTAGACAAAGATGTGGAGCCAATGTTTGACATTAAACAGGGCGTCCAACCTGCGAGACTGGTGGAAAAAGTTGTTGGTGTAACACAGAATGTAACACAACTTGAGAAAGACAATGAAGTGTACAAGAAGGTTGACGAGGCAATGAGACAACTGGAGAAGGATGATGGGGTTGACCGGGAGGTGGAAGAACAAGCAATGCCTTTGGAGACAGAGAAAGGTGTATTCGTGGAGAAGAGACAACCAGGAACGCGTTCAGAGAAATTAGTTAAGGTTGAACACAATGTGGCTCAGTCAGACACGGTTCTAGGAGACGCTGTATTTGACCAAAAGAAAAATGAAGTTGAACAGAGCTTAACACAAGCAGGAAAGCCTTTGGAGACAACAAGTGAAGTTGAGAGGAAGGTACGCCATCCAGAAAAAGTCCTGTTGAAGAACATTGAGGATAAAAAACAGCCAGTGAAACGTACGGAGAAGTCTATTGGGGATGAAACACTTAACGTGCTAGAAGAGAAGTCTACAGGACAGAAGGTCAAAGTAGAAGAAGATGAACTGTTCAAACCACCAGTTAGATCTAAAGCGAAGGTAGCAGTAGGAAAGGAACCACTTGGATATGATACAAAGGAGAGCATTGTCCAATCAGTTAAACCTACTGCAAATGACTCTGAGGACGACCAAAAACAAAGAGATTTGAAACAAGTGTCCGCAGAGGCAGAGCAAGAGAAAAATACACTTAAACTAGTGCCTTCTGTCGATCAGCTGGAGAAACAATCATTAGCACAACCAGTAAAGACTTTAGAAAAAGAAGCCCCTCCAAAACCACCCGCAAGGACTAAAAGCAAATCAAAGGGGGGAATGGAAAAGCAATCATCAAGGGACACGGAGACGGATCAAGACGAGCGTACGATGCCAAGAGTTGTGGTGAAAACAACAGACGATGATCGGCCAATGAAACAGTCTTGGAAAAAAGAGGTTGACGAGAAACCAAGATTGGGGAGGAAACTATCTTCAGCTACAGACACTGAGATTGTTGAGAAGCTTAAGCAACCGGTGAAGGATGCGGAGAAGTTTGCAAACGCCAAGCAACCGATGAAACAACCAGTAAAACCAATGAGAAAGGAACCCGAACTGGACCAGGACATTAAACTGGCAGTCGAGCCGATAAGAAGGCAAGAGGGTCAACAAACGACAAACGTTTCAGAAGGAATTCCTCTCCTCTACATTTCTGAAGATGAAACGTTCTCAGAGGCTTTGACCGAGGTACCATCGAACCACAGCATCGTCCAACCTCCTGTCTCTTTTGTTGATGGGTCAACCCAGCCTGCTACTCTTCCTCCAATTACAGTACCCCAGAAAGAACAACCACCAAATGAAGACTCCCAAGAAATGGACATCAGTGTTGAGGATGAACCCCAAATGCAAGAGGCTGCCGTCAGAATCCAGGCAGCCTTTAAGGGCTTCAAAACCCGCAGAGACATGCGACCCGTCTTCAAAGAGGTGTTTAAGAACCAGAGTGCAGATCTTCATGATACGGTCACGCTGGTGTGTGTTGCCGAAGGAAAAACAAGCATGGCGCGCTGGCTGAGAAACGGACAACAAATAATTAATGATCAGCGATGCCGTGTCGAGACCACAGATGATGGTGTTTGCACTCTGGTGATCAAGAACCTGACCCTGATTGACAGTGGGGTCTACACATGCGAGGTGGTGAATAAGTTTGGTATGACCTCATACAATGGAAACCTAACAGTAGTGCCGCCTCAGAAACCTGCTCCGATAAACCAGAAACCTGTTCACCCTCTGCTTGCCGCCATAAGTCCTCTGCAAGTTGCACCGCCGAAGCCTGAGGCAGAAACACAGACTCAGGACCTTCCTCAGACTCAGGATGTTCCTCAGACTCAGACTCAGGGTCTTCCTCAGACTCAGACTCATCCTCAGACTCAGACTCAGGGTCTTCCTCAGACTCAAACCGAGGTACCGTCATCAGGTATAGATGCTGAAAACTATGTCGAAAATGAGAGTGTCTCTCTGTGGGAGTCCTATAATCTGACGGAGCTGGACTCTCAGAGGAGACTACAGGAGAGGAGAGGATCCTCGCTTATTGCTGCCAGCTCCAGTGAGTAACACGTCTGTAATCACAACAAATGAGAAACTATTAAACCATATGTTTGGATTTTATTAACATGAGTTTCTACCTCAATCAGTGTCCAGTCCTTCGGATTATGACACGGCTCCGGATATGTTGGAACCTGTTGATTCTGGTCCAGATGTGCCAAGGTCAGAGATCAGAAAGATTAGTTTTGTTATCTAAATTGTAATGCTAATCCTTTGCATTGTGCTATTGAAGATAGACAAACAATTTATGAATACTGTTTCAGAGAAGTGACAAAAGCAGTCGATCAAGCATCTCCAAAAGATGATAAAGAACAGATGGCTCCTACACCACTTCCCAAGACTCGACTTAAGTTCAAAGGTCGGTAAAGTTGTCTGTATTTTCTAACTTTTTTCAGTCTTTGTTTTCTTACTAAAACATAGAGTAGAAAGGTTTATTACATTTAACTAAAGATCGTATCATTCAAAAACGGTTTTACACGCATTATAGTTTATATAGAATTGCCTTTAATTTATCTGGAAATTCTCAGTTTAAGTTGAGAGCCTGGGAAAAAACTTTCAATCTGAAATGTTCAATTTGAAAGCAGTTTCTTAAGAAGTCTATAAATACATGCATTTTAACCTAACTAGTTTGTAATTGTTTATAACCTCATCAGCATATTTCATATCAGGCATGTCATAGTGTCGTACGTCTCTAATTCATAGGTGGTCATGAAAGTAAGATGAGGGCACCGTCTCCCAAACACCACCGCACTCACACACCTCTCACCAGCACCGTCTCTGGATCAGAGTCAGAGGGGGAGGAGGACAGACGAGAGGTACTTTCATATTTTACATTTTGCATGTGTGTTCTGTGTCAACAGCAGTATTAACCAGACTCTCCAGAAAAACGCGATTCTGCGATCGCAGAATTTACCGCATAATCAGCAAAATGGCGCAGATTTTTAAAAGGCCGCATATTTATCAAAAGGCCGCATAATCCCCGCATTTTTCCACACAAAGTTGAGGGGAAAAAAAGTTAACTCGTCTTGACGTCATCAGCTCGCGCATCACAGAATGTAAACAACACTGTATAGAGTGAACGTGTGGAGCTCACACGATAGAGAAAACAACAAGATGAAAAAATCTAATCCATTTAACGACGAACATTTCTACTAAAGACCGGGCAAAAAGTGGGGGGAAACTATTCTGCACCCCGTGCAACTGTGTGTTGGAGCATAAGAGAAAATCGACGTGAAAACCCAATTTGATTCATTCAAACATTCGAAAATGCTTTCTGCTGCTGCGGACAAGAAAGCCATTCAACTCACGTTCACAGAGGCATCAACCTCCATAACCCTTTCGAGGGCTACAAGAAACGAAGTGAAGCCTACAAGATTGAAGCTGGTCAGATAACGAACGAGTAAATGAAAACAGAATGAGGCGGAGAAGTGTGTGTNAATTGAATAGTAAAGGGGTTTAACGTTAGTGGCAGGTTGTGTGTGAGAGAGAATAAATAAGACAGCCCAATATTTAAAAATAAAAGTTATTCTTTTCCCCCGCATATTTAGCATATTTCGCAGCTTTCCGCATATTTTGCAATTTCACGCAATTTCACCGCATAAAATCACATAAAAACCCCGCATGTTTAATCGCATAATCAAGGAATTTTGCCCGCGTTTTTCTGGAGGGTCTAATTAACAACTGCAGAAACGTGACATTTTCTATTTNACCCCAGCTTTCACCCCAGCTTCCACCCCAGCTTTCACCCCAGTTTCCACCCCAGTTTCCACCCCAGCTTCCGTCCCAGCTTCCGCCCCAGCTTCCACCCCAGCATCCGCCCCAACTTCCACCCCAGCTTCCACCCCCGCTTCCACCTGTAGGCTCAGGGGATAGTTATCTAATCATCACTCAATGTTCTTTGAAAATCTGTGTAGCGATGAGGCCCGACCCTAGACGCCAAACTCAAACTATATGCTGCTTCTAATAACATATTAAGAAACACGTGAGTTTTCTGACTGAAATAACCAAGTTGTAGAAATAATAATTAACATACATACAATTAAAATGAATAGAATTAGAAATGGATGCATTCAAAAACAATTATGCCCTTTCACTAACATAAAGACCATTTTTTTTCGGAGTTTTCGGAAATGTTATGTTTATGTAAGAAAAGCATTTTTTCATCAAGAATTTAGGAGACATCTTCTAGAGGCACAAATAGACTCCTAAATGTGTATTCTAGAAATCTTCTTTCCACTAGTTTAAAAAAGAAAAAAACATGTTGAAGAAGCAAAACCAGTAGTGTCATGATTTAATGACATTACTAGTTTAGTATAGAAGTCAATATAATATAATATATAACTGCAGGATGACGGACCTCAGAGCTCTCCTGTACTCTTCTCCTGTCGACCCGATCCCATCGAGATCCTCCTGAGGGGCTCTCAGCTGAGGGAAGGTCTCCTGTACAAACCATCATTTAATAATTATGTAAAGCCTTTTCATTTATTATTACTTGATGAAATTAATATCTACATCAACAACATCACAACATTGCAGTACAATTGAGTATTGCTGAGTAAAGACCTGAATACTTCATATACAGTATGCTCAAGGTTTCAAACTATAACACCGTTGCAAAGTATTGGAGTTTACTTGTTGATTTATGCATCCTACCTTCCTCTTCTTCTCCAGATATGCGGGACACACCCACCCCTGTCGGACGGGGGTGGTTTTGGTGGGTTTGGTCCGCACCAGCCAGCGGTCGGGATGAACAGAGTCCAGAACCTCCACAAACTGGCCCTCCTTCAGAACAAAACTCTCCTTATTCCCAAAGTCTGGACTGCAGTCAGCTCGAGCCACGTACATTTCAAAGGTCTGAGAGGAAAGAAGCAAATATGTTACAACATTTCAAATCTTATACAATTCTATGGGCAATTTTACTTTCTATAAATGTTTTACGACTACTGCGACTACCGCCACTACCACTACCACTACTACTATTACTACCACTACTACTACTACCGCTACTACTACTACCGCTACTACTACCACTACTACTACTACTACTACTACTACTACTACCACTACTACCACTACTACTACTACTACTACTACTACTACTGCGACTACCGCCACTACCACTACCACTACTACTATTACTACCACTACCACTACTACTACTACCGCTACTACTACCACTACTACTACTACAACTATTTTTGTTAATTGACATTACTTTAGTATTTCTATTTCCTTCAACTGTATGCCTTAGTGAAATTACATTAATTATATCTTGATGCTAGTAGTTTTGTACTTTTACTTAAATAAAAGGTCAGGGTTCTTTATGCAAATCTGCTGCTGCTAATACTACTAAATAGAGCACATACATGAAAAATGGAAAATACAAAAAATAGAAAATGTCACGTTTCTGCAGTTGTTAATTAGACCCTCCAGAAAAACGCGGGCAAAATTCCTTGATTATGCGATTAAACATGCAGTTTTTATGTGATTTTATGCGGTAAAATTGCGGGAAGTTGCGAAATANTGGGCTACAATAGCCGTATTCCCATGGTCAAGCCACTTCTGAACTCAAGACAACGGAAGAGGCGTCTGACTTGGGCTAAGGAAAAGAAGCACTGGACAGACTGTCCAGTGCTTCTTTTCCTTAGCCCAAGTCAGACGCCTCTTCCGTTGTCTTGAGTTCAGAAGTGGCTTGACCATGGGAATACGGCTATTGTAGCCCATTTCCCGGACACGTCTGTGAACAGTGACTTTTGATACCTGGACTCCAGCTTCAGTCCACTGTCTTTGAAGCTCCCCCAAATTCTGGAAGCGACTCTTCTTCACAATGCTTTTAAGGCTGCGGTCATCTCTCTTGGTTGTGCAGCGTTTCCTGCCACATTTCCCCCTTCCAACAGACTTTTTGTGGATGTGCTTTGAAACTGCACTCTGTGAACAGCTTGCTCTTTGAGAAATTTCTTTTTGTGTCTTACCCTCCTGATGGAGGGTGTCAATGACGGTCCTCTGGACAGCAGTCAGATCAGCAGTCTTCCCCATACTTGTGATTTAGTTTACTGAACCAAGCTGAGTGTTTTTCAAGGCTCAGGAAACCCTTGCAGGTGTTTCGAGTTAATTAGACGATTCAAGTGATTCGTTGAACACCCTACTAGTATACTTTTTCATGATATTCTAATATTTAGAGATAGGATATTTGAGTTTTCTTAAGCTGTATGCCATAATCAGCAATATTAAAATAATAAAAGGCTTGCAATATTTCAGTTGATTTGTAATGAATCCAGAATGTATGACATTTTTGTTTTTTTAATTGCATTACAGAAAATAAAGAACTTTATCACAATATTCTAATTTTCTGAGACAGTCCTGTATAGTGTTGTGGTTGCAGATTGAACACCCCTCCTCTCACCCCTCCCTTTACATAACTGCAGTGACAAGCCACTGGTGCAAAACCATGGTAACATCCTGCTATGTTTCACAACCTTCACCTCCCTCAAGGCCATCCCTACCCAAACACTATTTAGGCCACTGGCATTACCGCCATTTAAACAGCTTGCTGGAGATCTACGGTGGCCTTCAGGTACCATTAAAAACACAAAAGGCCCCATTTTCAAATAAAACAGTTTAGTTTGTCCGTTCAAAACACGGTCCCAATATAGATAATAAAGGCTCATTCCAAGGTAACGATTCTTAGTTTCAGATTAGTAAACACTGATGAAAACATATTTCTGAATAATATATTACATTTCTGCAAATACACCCTCCCTTATACTATACACTAGTCCTTTAAGTCCTATATATAGCAGACCCGGCTCCGTGGGAGGGCCAGGGAGGGCCAGGCCCTCCCATTTGACATTCCTGCCCTCCCCCAATAAACACGTTTTTTATTATTTATAAAAATA